ACGATCCGTCCGTCGAAGACTTGACACCAAAAATACGACCACTACGCGGAAGTACGTCTTAAATGCCGGTAGCAATTCGTCTTTCTGTCACTTTCAACCTATCGATAAAAGGCTACCAATCAATTTCTCTCCACTTGTCAATATTATAACCGCACGTTAATTGGCGATTTTTAATTATGCGCCTTACAAACCTGATGCTCTTACATCTATACGTGCTGTTGTAGGTATACAAGCGACCTAAATACCTGGGGGATTTTGTAACACGCTGCTGGCAATAGACAATAGATCATGTCTATACACTACATTAAGATAAATCAACAATGCAATCGACTGGAAATATTTTGTATTTCGCGTTTTTTTAACGTTGGACTTTACCGTTACGAAATCGCGCTCATTAATTAAACTTGGAGATTTTCGCTCGAATTGGTAATTTGTACGAATTAAAATCAAGGGAACGCGCCGTGGGAAACCGATTCGGTATTTATGGCGTCGTAAAACTTAATTGCCGTTCCTCTGTCAATGACTGACAATTTCAAGTTCATCTCTTCGAAGCTATTCGATTATTACCATGCGAATTTTAACAATAATGCAAAAATCCACGTTTAGTAGAGGAATTTTTGCAAGAATCCCTCCTAAAATGCTGAAATCATCTTTACATTCAGACTACAGCTGTAAAACGCACTGTTGGACAAATAAGTATTCGGGATAAAGATAGCGTTTAGGACAGATTAGCTGTCGCCCTCTACGGACGGCTGACTAAGTTTATCAACTTTCGTGGAAAAATAAATAAATAAATAAATAGAAATTTGGCGACACTCCGTACAAAAAATAATCATAACCATACTATGGAATATCCGATTTGAAAATGTTCTTTCGCGTAAATTTTATCACTCGTAAATACGCGATCTGACTACGAATCATGCTGCCAGTTCGTTTTGTCTATCGAAATTAATCGAAAAGAAAATTGTCAAACATAAATCGTACGTATGCTAACTCTCGTCTCGTCTCGTCTGCCCAAAACCATCTTACAATCCGGTCTCAATAGCGTTTTATTTCGAAAATGCACACGTTGTTATCGCTTTTATTTCCAGGCATACTTTCGTTCGCGTTCGCTATGAAGCGGTATATGCGTAAATTTTCCTATGTTGAACATAAAAAGTCAACCTCTAGCTGTTAAGAAAATACGTATTTTTTAATGCATAATTTTCTTATATTAAGCACTTATCCTCTGCAAGGTGTGTCTTTTCTGAGGCGCAATCAAACATTTTATTTTTTGAATTTCTTATGCTTAAAGAACCTTTGTAGACCTGAACATAAAGATTCAACCCCTCATCATTGAAAATACGTATTTATTAAATAATTTTTTTAAATAATGACAGACGCAATCAATTTCCGTTTATTTCAAAGAAGTAACAACATATATTTTCATAAACACCCCTGATATAATTCTTGGGCACGAATACATAAATCTGACATGAGAACTCTATCTGGGTCGCACTTTGGATTCGAATAATCACACAATTATTGATTGACAATGATAAAAATTTATTCCCAAACAAATTAAAACAAAATCCCCGAAAGAAAAGGTTACAATATTCTTCAGTGGCGCAAAGATTTTATTTTTTTAATTTTTTATGCTTAAAAGAACCCTCTTGCAACCTTGCAGACCTGAGCATAAAGATTCAACCCGTAGCCATTATGAAAATACGTATTTTTTTAATAATCTCAGTAGCCTCGATCAACTTCCGAAAAATTTCAAAGAATTAACTACACATATATAACGCCCCTGATTCTTGGGCAGGAATAGACATATGCCATGAGAACTCTACCTGGGTGGCACTTTGGATTCGAATAAACACACAATTATTGAGTGACAACGGCAAAAATTTATTCCAAAGCAAATTAAAACAGAATCCCTGAAAGAAAAGGTTACAAAGTTTGTTTGGACATATTACCCCACACGCAGACGGTCGATAATTAAAATAAGAAATCTTAAAATTACTCACAGTTCTTTTTCTTAATAATAAAAATAATCTGGTTGTGCAAAGTTTGTGATCGATGCTACATACTCTCCCAAAACGTTGAGCCCTTAGGACTCTCGTGCATGGAACGTTCTCCAGTAAAGAAAACTTAGTCCTCACTCCTTACGAAGATCACAAACATATTAGTTTTCCTAAACATTTCGGGGGAGAGCATAGCAGAGCGAGCACACTGAAAGAATTGGTTCCATTTATCTGAAAACTACTATGACAATTGATTTATTCCATACCCCCAGGCCCCCCGGTGCTACATTCTCCCCCAAAACGTAGGGCTCTCACAACTCTCTCGTGAGGAATACCATCCACAAAAGAAAAGTTTGGCCACACTTCCCCCAAACATCATAAAAATACTCGTAATTATTGGTAAATATTCTGGGTAGAGCATAGCAACGGGGAACTTGGGGTGGAGGGGGGGGGGTATGGAAACCCTTCGGCACACTGAAAGAACTTATTACCTTTTCCTGGAAACAGTTGCTTTCGGGATAGGGTCGTCAAATCTCCATTCTGAGCGTAGGGGGGGGGGGGGGAGGTATGGCATTGATCCCCCGGTGTTTTCTTCTCCCCCAGCACATTCAGTCCTTCGAACTGTCGTGTGTATGGAGTAAAATAAACACACTCACTTTCCTAAACATGTCAGGGGAGGGCATAGCACCGTGCTTTATGGGGGGGGGGCATCTCCCCGGCACACAGACGGAACGGATTATCTTACCTGAAAACTACCATGACAGTTGCTTTCGGGATAGGATCACCAAATGCGCTTTTGCTGGGGTGTATGCCATACCCTCAGACTCCCCCCCCCCGT